GAGAACTTCAAAATGAGTGCATTATCCAACGACCCAGCTAGGGAAATAAAAGTGGGCTCAGGGAAACTTACCTTGAACCTGCCCTCCTCGGAGCGGGTGACGGTCCCGCTTTGCATGTCCCGAAAGGGCTCCAGGCTGAGTATCTGAGTTTCGGGTTTGGTGGTGGAGGTGCCGGATACCACGTCCCAAATCGATCGTGCTCCGGAGGGGAAGAAGCTATGGATCTTCGTTTGGGGAGCGGGGATGGCCGAGCTTAGTCCTTGGACAACGTTGGTCCTTAGCGGCCGTTCGATGAAGTCCATAAAGTTGATGACAATGATATCTCCCAGTGGCATGATGTTTGCCGTAGAAGGACCTCGGCCGAGAATCCCGGCCGCCGACGATGAGGATGAAACATTACCAGAGGGTTGTCCGATTTCGCCATCAACGGGGATACGGCCGGGCTGGGAGAGCTCCGTCGGGGTGGCCGCCGGCATGCTGGGAGAGAGGCCCGAGAGAGGTGGGGCCATCGAGGTATGGGGACTGCCCTTCCGGATGTTGCCGTCGCCGGCGCCGGTGCCGGAGAGTGGGTCTCCGACCGACGGCAAGGGGTCTGTGGTGGTGCCCGCCGAAAGGGAGGTGGTGGCTCGAGTTGCGTACAGAGGTAGACCAGACGTGCAGTTGGGCTTGGGGAAGGAGTTTGGGTCTGGTGGGCTAGAGATGTGTAGAGAGGATTGTTTAGGAGAGTTGGGGAGAGAGGTGTGCTGGGCCTTAGGGGACGGCCCAGATAAGGTGAAGGAAGGATCAGAAGTGGGCCTTGGGAGAGGCCCATTTGGGCGGCCCACATAAGTTTGAGCTGGGGGAAGAAAGGGTGAGAGATGAAAAGATTTGGGGAATTGGGAAAGGGTTCAGCCGCCGAGGAAGATGGTATGGTTGTCGGAGAAGGGAAGTTATTCGCCGGTAGAGAGCCAAAAAGGACCGGCCATGGGTTTCCAACCTCTTGTCTAGCTGACGTGACGGCGCCGGAAGATGGGGCCAAGCCGGGGACCTGAAGATGAGGCACGACAGAATCTGTGGCTTGGCTTGTTGGCATGAGAGGCGGCGCCACTGCTACAGGGAAGGACGGACCGGTCGAAGACAAGGTGTCGCCCGAGTAATGTCCTCTATGGGCCGGCGAGCCTGCTGTTTGAGAGGAAAGGAGCTTCTCAGTCGATTGGAAAACCGATTTGACGGCCTTCTTGAAATTGTTGGACCAGGAGGAGAATCTCCTCTGTAAATCTCCGGAGTCCGTGGTGTATTGTCTGGTTGGTATCATCGTGGGTGGCGAGGTCTTGGAGCGCAGTGAAAAAACCGAAGAGTGAGCAGGGAGGGAGAGAGAGGGAATATCGGGGGAGGGAGGCACAGGGCCAGTCTCCATAATTCTGGCCGGCTTGCCGCCGGCGACGACGGGCGCCGGCACGGAGGTGTGAGGGTTGACCGGAAAAATAGAGGAAAGGTTGGTGGATAGGGTTTCTAGAGAGAGAGAGAGAGAGAGAGAGAGAGAGAGAGAGAGAGTTTAGAGAGATGGGAGAGTTTTCAAATATTTTTTATTTGAAGAATTTGATATCTTTCTTTTATGTATCATAATCATTTCATATTAATCTTTCAATTTATTTTTTCTTTTTTTTTTATGAAAAATTATGTATAAGGATGAAGTTGGTCAAATGTAATACTTGGTAAAAAAATTTGTGCATTCAAACATCATTTCATAATATCACTATTCTATTATGTTTAAAAAAAAATAAAAAAAAAATAAAAATAAAAAACTGGCGGGCTGGCCGCGGCCCGCCCCGCCAAAGCCCGCGGCCCGCGTGGGCCAGCCCGTTTAGGCCCGCTCTTTGGCGGGCCTCTAAAACTACAAGCCAACCCGCACATTTGGCGGGGCGGGGGCTCAGGCCCGTTTTGACATCTCTACTTTTTATTAAGGACTCACAAGTGAGGGAGCGTATTAGAATATTCACTTGTGAGTTGCCCCACATCATTTATATAGGGAAAATAGACCTAACTTATAAGCCTAATGGACTACTACTCCTTCCATCAATTGGTTTTGGGATGAAATCTCACTTGGGTTTCATCTGGGTTTTTCCTGTCTTGGTGCACTTCATCTGCGCGGGACCGTACCCGTTTTTCCCTCTGTTTCTTACAACGGTGTGGAATTGTAGAGTTTTGAATGGGCCTTCTATAGTTCCCCAGCACAAGGAGTCTAGTAGGGTCCATCACCTTAGTTTTATTTTTCTTTAAGAAACTATAAACCAATAGACTTTGTGAGAACTGTTTGCCGGAAGATAGGATATGAGAATGAATAAGTGGAAGTATACTAATCCACAAGGGATGAGTTGTGGAATTTTTTTATTTCTGGGACAATGAAGTGGTGATTAATCAAACAGTGAGCCGTGATTTTTGTTTTGAGATAGAGTTTAATTTATCTATTTATTTTTTTCAAACGGCAAACACTTCAATAGAAAGAAAACTCAAAAAGAGTACAGAAGGTATTCAAGAGATACAACTCCATCAAAGAGGTAAACACAAAACAAAAACGAAACTCCAAAAAAGAGAAGAAAACTCCATAGAGGAGAATAACCAGACAAGGTGGATTGACAAGCAAAAAACAGAAAAATAAAAAACACACACCTAATATACAAATAAACTAGAGACCTTCCCTACACCAAACAGACCTAACGCTCGATCACTTGAGACCGCAAACGAGTCACTGTCACTAGCATATAGATTCAACAAAGCGGCAAACTGAAACTTCAAGCCTGAAAGCTGTGGTCACTCATGTCGCCTAGACAAATCTGATGAAGAGTCTGCTCTCGCTTCAGATCTGAACTCTGAAATAACCTTTCACACTAGAGGAGGAGGGGAACCGCCCTTAAGTCGTTGAAAACCACACCGGAGAGCTCAAAAATGGTTCAACCTCGCATCGAGCTGCACCCTTGAACACTACACAAAAAGCACTCGAACCCCGACACACCGACAACCCAACGGACTCCAAGGAATGGGGCCTGACGAAGACGACCATCGGCCCTTCCAAATCCATGGAGATGGCAGATCTGTGAGAAACACATTGACCATCCACTCACTCGGCCTCGAAAGGGGAAATAGGTCTACCAGCCCCGACGCGGTGAAAGTCGGATTTAGCGACGCGGTTACAAACCGCCTGTGGGGGGGGAGGGGGGGAGAGATTTACAAAGGAAGAAAAAAGATTTGGGAAGAGTTTATTATTATTATTATTATTATTATTATTATTATTATTATTATTATTATTATTATTATTTGTTAGGCGGAGCAGCAGAGGGTTACAAGGTTGAAATGGAGTTTAATCTGGGGCAAACAAAATGTTACAATTGGATTATTATGGTTTACAAGTGGTGATTAATCAAATAGTGTGCTTTGGTTTCAGATCAAACGTCGTAATTTCTCAAGAACATG